AAGTCTTTCTGGGCAATGCGGGAAATGTCTTATCGGCGATAAAGTGGAATAGGGGTTAATGCAAAATGCAGCCAACAAAAAAGTAAATGACACCATTTCAATCAGGAGAGACTTCTGAACTTTTAACAATGATTTATTAACACAAGCATGAGTATTAAGTGCAAAGTTTGTTGGGGCTTGGACTATATGGTGAACCCAGCTCTAACACAGCCGTAGGATAGACCAGGGGCCAGGATGCCGAGATCAGATGAGGCATATCCCCCACCACCACCACCAGTGCAGACACTGGTGGTGGTGGTGGTAGAGAATAAGTTGCTCCACTCTTTGAATATGCCAGATTCCCCTGCTGATTGGAGGTGTCCGGGGTGGTGGAGGGTGGTGTCTGGTGCTTGCTGAAATGACAACTGACAGCAACAGATATGTGAACAGCCGTGATGCGATTGGTTTACAGAAACGGTGCCATCGCCCCCAATCAGCTTATGCCCACATAGACAGCGGGGGCCCTGGGGCAGGCATTAGCTTCTCCAGTCTTCCTGACTGAATTTACACCTAAACTTCATTTCTTCAGGAAAGACGACCTAGAATGCTGTGAACATCACAGGCGGTGAGGTGAGGGCCTTTCTCTGGAGGAAAGTCATTGTTGGTCAAAGGAGACTGCAGTCTATCTTGTTTCTTATTTTTACAGTCATTTATTTCCGTATGTATAATAAAGGTATCCACTCTGGTGTTCCTGTCTTTCTAATTTGATTAGTATCCTTTAAAAGGTCATGAGAAATTGACACAATACTTACACCGCTCTCATTACTCTCCCGGGCTTACTGGGCCAAGCATCCTTTCAGACGAGCTCCGCCATTGACATGATGTTGCCATGTGGCTGTAAAAGCATCTTTTCACCCAGCTGAATCTAAACCTCAGGTGCACAGTGTTTTTTTAAAACTGTGTGGCTCCTTTTTGATAGCACTAGAAACTGCCAGTGAATTGAATTCAACAATGCACAAACTCACAACAAAAAAAGGGGCCAATTCAGTAAAAATGCCTCTCTCCTCCTTTTTGAGTTTTGTTGGCAGGCTTTTTTTAATACCTGCCAGCAGACACGCAGGCTATCCAGGTGTACAGCCTCCAGACACTCCTGTGAGAAAGCAAAACTTCATTATTTATTAAGCGTCAAAATGAAGCTGCGAGAGGAGGGGTCAGTCAGCCGTGAAGCTGGCAGGGGAGGTGGGGTTGTTGCCTCCTTGTTTGCCATGGACGCCGGTTGGGGAACTGGGTTTGTGCTTCTAGTAGTAGCTGCATGAGCGGAAGGTGTGGGATTCAATTCCACCTACTGCTTGTGACGGGCCAAATATAGACCATCAGTTGGAATTGTTCATTTCGAGATGGCACGCAATCTTTAGACCCCACAAATTGACCATTTCTGACCCCCACCTAATCTTCAATTGTGCCTACCCATTTTCTCGATCTACATTATTTTTCTTCTTTCCGTCTCCATTCTAATGTAATAGCTTAGAGTCGGTCCAAGGCTTGAATTTTTTCTTTCTATTCAAAGCATTTCTCTTCGTTTTCATGAGAAATATTCCATTATCCATGCCCCTGCCTTATAGGCTCAATAAATGCCATTTGACTTCCCTTCCTGGATGGTGAAAAATGGAAAAAAGAAAGCTGTTTTCAATAATCCTGCCAATACGATGATTCAGTAGATTTTCATCCAGTTATACTTGCAGTGAAATTGCATTGTTCCCAAGCTCAAAATCCTTCCATCTAAATACATTCCGATAGATGCCCACTATGCAGTTCTCACTTTTAATGTGAACACTGAAATCAGCACAGTGCCCCAGTCCCCTCCACATAGTGCCTCACCATGGCAGCCATTGGTTTGTTCTTTACAGACCAGCTTACAGAACTAGATTGCTGTGCCTCCTAACTCTAGAACACAATCAAATTGTGTAGACACAGACCCATTATCCTGTCAATACTTTCCAGCAAAGTGAAAACCATCATCTAAACTCAGATGTTATCAAGGATCTTAATGAATAATGAAAAAATTAAATGGAAATTATTACCTCAGAAAACCTCTTGTTTTATCGGAGACGTTCTCCACTGTATCTCACTACAAAGTTATGACTCAACCTGCTTTATGGTCTACAGACAGTTTGACAAAATAACTTTCAGTTGTTGTCATGTTTCATGCTGCCTATTCACGCAACCTTGGTGCTGTAAAAATGTGCTGTCAGTTTAGTTCGACTTGTGTGGCACTGCTGTAGTCAAATATCCACTGATATGCTACAAAATCCTCTATGTGACCAAAGGAAGCAGATTTTAAACACTTTGGATAACTGATCAAATAAACACCCAGAATGTTTTACAAGAAAATATACTATTAAAAAGATTTATATTGCGGCATATGTACTTTCATGTAATGTACTTTGTAAAATCAAATTCGAATGTCATGATCTACCCAATGTCACCTGTTTCACCATCATTTATGAATCCCTCCGTCTGCGTGACTGCAATAAATAATCCTGATGATAATACTAATGATACACTTTATTTATGTAGTGCTTTAAAAAGGTTTCACATGGTAAATATGTCATTACAGTTTAAAGAGTTGTAACAGGATGTCACGGAGGAGGGTGAATAAATGGCAGCGCAGCAGTCAAAACGCAGAGGGTGTCTTTGGAGACATTTTAATCAGTCCATCAAAGAAACAAAATAAATCACTCTGGTCATTCAAGCAGTCAGCAAAAACCTAGACACAACACTGTCTTCCCCCTCGCTTCTTCTTCTTTTGCTTTTTATGGCGGTTGGCAAACAACTTTCGGGTGCATTACCGCCACCCACTAATCTGGAGTGTGGACTTAAGGAAATTAAACCTCTACTAGAACTAAACCAAAACAAAACACAAAACTCTCAAATTCTATTCAATAGTCTTGTATTCTCTAAATATGCCAAAAGCAGTTCCCAACACTTGTCCCTAATGCCCTTCTTCAATATTTCGCTTATATTTGCCTCTCCCAGCTCTCTTAGCCTCTTTCTCAGGACTTCTCTCTCTGCCTCGTACCTCTGACATGCCATCAAAACATGGTTCACAGTTTCCTCTTCTTGACAGTATTCGCACCTTCCATTTCGATGTTTCCCAACCGTATAGAGGGAACTGTTAAGACCAGTATGGCCATTTCTTAGCCTTGTCATTACCCTCTCCTCTTTTCTATTTCATCCACCAGCTCCTACACTCCCAACCAATGGTTTATTTTTAAACAGATATCTTCCTTTGCTCCTTCCCCCTCGCTACTCCCTTCATCTTCCTTAAGTAGCCCCTTGGCGACACGAGGTCCAGGTGTGTCTCCTGGCACACCTGATCTTGATGAGCTTCTGACGCTCGTTTAGGTGGCCCGCCTTACGGATATATCTCCCCTCCACCACTCTGCCCCTCAGCTCCTTACAGAGTCAAATAGGTGAGTCCAGAGGGACGGGGCAGCAGTTGGCGTCTGTGGATACGAGGGGGGGCGTTGAAGGGGGTGTGAAGGGGCGAGGTTGTGGAGGGCCTCGTATGCGATGAGGAGAATCCTAAACTGTATTCTTTAAAACCTTTCCATTCTTTAGCTCTGTCCTCCCTCGCAACTTCTGATTTAATTTCTCACTCTCGTCTCCCTCATAAGCTCTCGCCCTCTTCTATCTCATCGTGTCTCGCTCTCTCTCCCTTTGCAGCCGTCAGTGTGGGAGTAAAAAGGATTAGTGGAACCAAGAGGGGGAGCAAAGCACTAAATGACGCTATTGAATTCTGGAAAAAATAAATTTGGGCTTCTCACGCTGCGTGAGGAGTTAGACGGTGCGGTTTGAGGAATCAGGAAACATTTATTGTCATAATATATCAGACATACAAGGAATTGGACTTGGCGGTTGGTGCATAACAACAGACAGTACGACAAGACAACAGTGCACGAGGAATAAAATAAAAAATAATAAAATACAAAATATTGCTATGGGTTAATATAGGGCTATGGGTTAGTTTAAAATAAAGGAATGAAGTTAAAAATATTAAATAAAAAAATAAAGTGCACCAGCGAACAGGAAGTGACGAGTGAAAAGTGACAAGTGTAAGGGATGTGTGCAGTGTGAAAGAAAGTGACCGGTGGAATGAACCTGCCGACGGGAAAAAACGGTTTGTGTGGCGGGAGGTCTTAGTCCTGATGGACCTCAGCCTCCTGCCAGATGGAAGGGGCACAAACAGGTTTTGTCCGGGGTGAGAGGGGTCGGCTACCATCTTTTTAGCTGCTTCAGGGTCCTGGAAGCGAACAAGTCCTGCAGGGACGGCAGATTGCAGCCTCTCAGCCTCTCTGCAGAGCGGAGGACACGCTGCAGCCTGCCCTTGTCCTTGGCTGTGGCTGCAGCGTACCAGACCTGATGTTCAGCTCCCACTTGAGGTCCTGGGTGATGATGGAGCCCAGGAAACGGAAAGAATCCACAGTTGTGACGGGGGAGTCACACGGGGTGACGGGGGAAGGTGGGGCTCTGTTCTTCCTGAAATAAATAAGACGACTTCAGGAGCTTGACGGACTGGTGACTGGAGGAGCAGCTGTTGGTGTACAGGGAGAAGAGCAGAGGGGAAAGAACGCAGCCTTGGGGGGAACCAGTGCTGATGGTCCGAGAGGCTGAGACATGTTTCCCCAGCTTCACGTGCTGCTTCCTGTCAGACAGGAAGTCTGTAATCCACTTGCAGGTGATGGATTCTAGCACATCTAACTTGATAACAGTGCATAATTAACAAATTTCACAATGACAGTTTTAATCACCAGCCTGCTGCTAAGAATTAGAACATCCAGGCTACAAAAAAAAAGAGGTGAACACTGAACAAATGTCTTTTAAACTACTCTCTGCAGAGTGCTAAACTTGGTTTATTATCTATCTATTTTCACTCTAATGTTTCAACAGCTATTTATTGCTGGTCATCATAGTGAGAACAAGAGAAGAATAGCTGTTAAAAAAGGATAAAAAGTCAATAATAATGTTCAAATTGTAATTTTATTTCATTTGTACTTATTGCATAATATGTTTTATTTATTGTCTTGATCTGTTTCTCTATACATGAACTGCTGCAACACCTACATTTCCCCGATGGGGGGATCAATAAAGGATTTTTTTTCCACCATGTTTACATTAGTATTTAATATCATTGCATTTAATGTGTATTGAACTGGCTGTTCCAACGATCTCTTTTTTTCATTTCTCACCATGTCAGTGCAAAACTATTTCAAAAGAAATTACACATGATAACAAAAATTATTATTATTAAACAAGCTCTCCGTGCTGCGGTCCAGCAGTAGAAGATGAGGTTAAGAAGCCTGCTTTATATAAATCTGTGATCAACAAAGCACGAAAGGCCCTTTATTGAGTTGGCCTCCAGATCCTTCATACTGTCGTTGGTTAGAATTCGTCTCGAGGGGAGAGCTCTGTCAGTAATATCAGACTGATGGTGGCAATGACAGTCTCCCTCTGTGTGAGGCCGTATGACAGGCATGTAATAAAATTCCTCTCCTCTTTAGTGTCTGTGTGCAGGTCCTGACGGCTCTGCAGACACACTGTCCCGTAGACGGTAACTGCAGAGTCACCGTTAGCTGCGCTGCGGCACTCGTCCGAGGCGTTTTATCTGGCAGGGGAATTTGTCACCGCAACTTCAGTACTTAGCAGCTCGTTGCTAAGTTTGGCTACTGTCTGCTGCCTGGAAGGTAGCCTGCAGGGAGGTTTAAACAATTTTATCCCTGAAAACTGCTTTCTGCAGCGGGAAATGGCGCTGATAAAAGCGGTGGGGGGGAAACAGAACCATTAAGGTCAGCTGTTTACTTTCAGGTCATCACTGTGTGTGACCTCTTTCACAATTGAGGATTGCTTTGCAAGTGTTAAACATCCTCTACTACTCCGTACGCTTTAGGCAGCCCTGAGTAGAACATGTTTGCCAGTTTGTGCAGGTTCATTCAAAAAAATCTGAAATCTGAAATAATGACCAGATGGTGGACCCATTGAAGGGACACTCTCCGAACAGCTGTACAGTCCTCGGCAGAATGCAAAAGGAGGAGGCAAAATGCCGATTGTAGCAGAACGCAGGGGATGACCAGAGCCATTACCGAGCAGCAGGCTATCTACTGGACAACCCAGACCCCTGAGTCTCATACTTAAGACTCCAAAACTTTTCTTTTATTCACAGAATCCACAGTTGTGCCTCTTACAGAATTAGCTGATGACGGAGGGGTGAGTGAGCCGATCTGCACAATGTGTTTTCGGGGTCTTATTGCGGTTTAGTAAACTGATGAAATGTCAGATTAATGGCGAGCTACGCAGAGGAGTACGTTTCTTCCTCGTGCTGGAATTTAATTTCGTCGGTTGGCCTGTGAGCAATCAGCAGAGACCAGACCTTAAATGTTTCATATTTAAATACATTAATTCTGATGCAATATGATTGAAACAGTCCTTAAAGGATGCTTCAATTAGGCCTATATCCAATGAAATTAAAGTCTCTCTTCCCCCTATGCTTCAACTACCCCATCTGTGGCGCGCCCAAGGCAACGTTAGAGAAGGCTCTCGATAATATCTATGTCAAATTCATGCATAATGAGTTTTTTGTTTCCTAACGTTGGGCCAAGATTTGAAGTCATTCAGTAATTTCGTCTTAAATGCATAGAAACAATTGAATGAAAACATCCTGAAGCAGGGAGCAGATGGGTGGTTTTAAGTTTAGTCCCATCATTAACCATCATCGCAATGTGGATATTTCTAAACGATAGGCCTCCATAGCCACCATAACCACAGGTTCCATAGCCTCAGCACACAAGAAATCTGACCAATTACGTTTGCCGTGCTTGCTCAAGTGTCCATCGCACATCAGGGAGTGTTAGCTGATTTCTCATTTTCTTCCTTTCATCTGAATATTGTCTTCAGGTTGAACGGGCTCCTCGCAACCTTTCCCATCATCAGGACGAAGTCGCAAAAAGAGAAAAAAAACAAAACAGCAATTAGCCACTTTCTTTAATAACCAGTCTACTCCTTTCCTTCCATGACCACTGTGTGTTCATTATTTCCTGAAATTAATCATGTTGGAAGCGGCTAGGGAGTCGTATTAGGTTACTAGCAAATGAGGAACTACCTTAGTGATAATTAATAATTCTATTAATGTCCATAAGATACTTCTCAGAATAAATAAATAACGGGGCACCACCCTGAGCTAACAGGGACTAATAACCAATACTATAAATCAAGTCTTTTAATTGATATTCACTCCTTGAGAGTGAAGATGTTGGAAGGATTTCAGTACCATATAAATGCACAAGTAAACACAGGAAAACGGTTCTTTAAAGTATAACAGGGTTTATTTAACTCACAGAAACACTGATCAAGATCACCTATAACTGCAACCAACAATCCCCATAACACTTATTTTAAACCCACTCACTAAACAAACAATCAAAACCAGAGTGTGTGTGTCTGTGTGTGTGCGCGTGTGTGTGCGTGTGAGCACAAAGGGGGGTGCAAGAGAGGGAGAGACGAGGGGGGAAGGAACGAAGGTGGGGTTGCGCGCAACAACAAGCGGAGTGCCGATTATCACACTAGGGGGCGAGCGAGAGCAGCGGGGCGGAAGTGAGACCGCTTAATCGAACCACCGAGGAAGACGGGAATGTTAGGCGGTGTAATACGACTACTCAACGCGAGGGGCGAGCGGGAGCGAAATGCAGGGAAGTGTTCCACGTAGTAAAACAAAGAGGAAGACGATAATTGCACTGCTATGGCAACACTATCTGTTGCTAGGGACTACGGCTTGGAAGAAGGGGGGCGGGGGGGAAATACTGAGACGCGACGCGATTCTGCAGGCATGAAAACGGGTCACGGGTGTACCCCTCTAGGGCAGGGGTTTTCAACTGGTTTTGTCCCAGAGATTTTTCTTCGAGTCATTCGTTGACGGGGGGTCTAAGATAAATTCACCTCCCAACCGTGTCTTCGGGTCAATGATTCGTTCATCGTACTTTGAAGTCAAAATGCGTATTAGGTTGGCAGGTCTGCTTATTGATAGAACGGTGGACCACTTTACCTTCTGCCTCGTCAGTCCCCTCACCTAAAAATCTACCTCCTCAAAAAGTATAGCGTTAGCTAATCATTTTCCACCGGAGCTCTAGCTAGCTGGCAAACGTCGCGTTCTCTCCTGCTGTGTTAAATGACTCAAATCATCAAGCTGTAGCTAACGTTAGCCAAGTCTATGTCAACAAAGCTCCTGGGTAACTTAACATAGATCGACCAGAAAATATTACAACCATCACTCGCCCTGTTCGCAATTCACTGAATCTCGCGCTCCCTTCTGACACGCGCACCTGTTCGCAGTTCACTGAATATGAATCGAATCCACACGATTCACGTGTCACCGATTTTTGTTTCAAAACGGCGAATTTCGCCGAAAGGTGAGGGATTTTCATGCCTGATTCTGACCCGCGACCAGCGGAACGTAGATCAGCAACGTGAATCAGGATGGTCGGACCGATGTGTGTGCAGTTACGGAAACGAACGATGTGGCTCGCGAGACGAAATAAAACCACAGGCAAACTGATTTCACGGCGGAGAACCGGGAAGAGAAAATAAGGAACTATTTTGACCATGAGATATCATTCATCAGCGTAATACAGTTGGCGCTTCGGATCGGATCACAGTATCCGATCAACAGAAAATATTACGACATTTGCAGGTACATATTCAAACATAAATCAAAGGTAGCGGATTCGTTGATGCGGACTATATCGTACCACGTTATGACTGAACAAATCAAATAAACATCAAGTTTATATAAAGACGCTAAATTAGTCTGCCCAGAAAACCAGTCTCTTACCGTTTGATGGGGCAGATGGGCAAAGTCGCGGGGTCCGAACTTCTCGTTCGGAACAGAGGTCGGCGGGGGGTCAGAGAGCAGCTGCTCTCCGGTCCTCCGGGGTGAAACGGGCATTAAATCAAAAGGCGAAAAAAGAAAGCGGGGATGGAGTGGAGGCAAAGAAAGGAAAAAAGCGATCTATTACTAACGGGAAGTTAGACGAAAGAGATCGATTCTTTGGCGCAATCTCTTTTTATAAAGTTGAGGTCCATAAATAAATGTCACTGTCCTTGGCCAATGGGAGCTCTCGGTGTTCTTTCGTACGTCCTCTTTTTATGACCAAGGGGGTCTGGACCCCCGCAGGGCTCCTGTTATCAGCCCCTGGCATCAGGCCACGGGGACCCTTACATGTTTGTGTTTTTCCTTTGTCCTCAGTGAAGAAAAGCGTGGTGAGGTTTATTAGCAGGGTGGAGGCCCAACAATCATATCATGTGCAAAGCTGCAGCACTCACTGTGAACCATGAGTGCCATATAGAATACTTTGATAGTGAAAATATTCATAAGGATGAGTTATGAGGTAAGGAAAAACAATCCTTTGTCGGTATTACCTTGTTTTCTGGTATTAAGCAGCACACTATGTGATATCCGTATAATGGCGTGTGGTGCACCACTGTCCCTTCTGTACCGTCACCACCCTCAGATTAGATCTTATATTGACAGAAAACCTGCTATCCAGTGTGGAGGGAAGAGGGGAAAACAAAACAAAGAGCGTAAATGGCGGAGGCAGCGTCAACATGTCGGCCTCGCTGTCTCTTGTGGATGCATCGTTTCCATTATTTCAATGTCAATGTTGCTAACAGTGCAATCTGTCTTTTTAAGCCATCTAAGGTGCAGCCGCATTCAAATATGACTGATATTATGATTTTAAAATGATTGACGGCAGTATAGAGTAATAATACCTATCATTTATAGTGTAGATTATTTATGGTTGTGCTCAAGGATTCTGACCAAACAAAAGATCTACATAAACCATGTTAACCCACCTTTTAAATTCAGCTATTCTCTTCAAACAAGGAGAAATCCACCACATTTCGCCTGCTGCTCCTTGACTGATCCTTCTGTCTGTTACTTATCAAAGGTTTGCTAAGGGTGACATGACTTTTCAACACTGGGAGCACATCAGAGATACAAAAATAAATAATTTGGGTGCTTTCCCTCTCTAATAGTGGATTATTCCAGTGAGAATAAGTCTTCTTACCCCGCTGACTTTGGCACCATGCTGTTACCCCTTAAACATCACACATTTTTCACCCAGTAAGATAATTATAAAGAAGAATTAGCACCACTAACATGATAAACAATCTGTCTCCCCAAAGAGTACTAAGCAGCTTTTGGAGTGTGTCCAGGGTGAGCAGTGTGGCTAGAATGAGAGCACAGCAGAAGCCGAACCTCTGCAGAGCTTCTGCTTCACCCCCTGCCTGCCACCAGGGGGCCACATAGAGCTTCAATAAATTCCCTTTTTTTGTCTCCTTTCCATAAGTCGGATGAACACACAATGAAAACAGACCTCACCTCCCATCGACTCCACTGTGGATGTATAACTCTTAAGAGTGCCGGGCAAAGCGAGTTTGGACGTGTACGTTTCAACGAGTACTTTCCAAACGAGCTGGAGAGACACGCCTCTGCTGCCTCAAAACACTCATTCTCTAACATGGCATCTCTGGTGACGGAGGATTAGTGCAGAGAAAGGGAGGTGGGAGGAGAGAGGAGGGGAATGACAAGAGGAGTGAGCAGAAAAGTGCAAGACAGATGGTAACAAGCAGCAGGGAGGATGGCTGGAGAACGAGAGAGTAGAACTGATCACCAGACAGGAAACAGAAACATTTAGACTTTCTTTTGTAGCCTTATTACACCCTTTGGCCAAAACAATGGGTTCTCCATCCAAACTTCAAATCCGGCTACTCGGTCAATCCGCCTCGTGAGTGCTGGTAACACAACGTGGCATCTTGTATCTGTATGATACACACCAGGCTTTCAACTACATCCATCTGCATCATCATTTGGTCGGAATGAGAACACTGGCTTAGTATAAATTGCGAGAATGTTAGCATATTGGGTTGGGGACCTTCTATCCAAAAAGGAGGTCGTTTTTTGACATTCAAATCCAGCATGTTGCTGTAGAGTAAGAAATACGAGGCTGCTGGACGAGCAGCCTCGTATTTCACACTGTATTTGACTCAAGTTGCGAGTGAGAATGTGTTTGGCCAGAAGTATCTCTCACATACTGACTATTCTGTGGCTGTGAAGGTGATGTACCTTAAAGTAGTGAGATTAATTCTGCACATCTACTATAAACAAAGTAGCCGCCTTATCTTTCGGGCCATCTTGCTTAGCAGTGCTCTTATTTCAAGGAGGAAATCCTACGAGCAATTCAGTGCAAATGAAAAACAGAAGCAGAGTAAAGCACCCTCCCTCCACTTCACCGTTAGCTTTAATTTATCGCAGATCAGTGACTGAGAAATAGGGGTGAAGAGGTTGGGTGCTGCTTTTTGATGCACTGAAGGTTCCTGCATTGCGCACAGTGTATCTGATTCCACTTTCTGGGGAATCAGCTGGGTTTCTCTCTGCGCCAGTCAGTCAGATCAGTGCCAGAATTTGCTCTCCTCCCGCTAAAACCCTCCCCCGTATCTCCTCCTCCCGATGCTGCAGGCATGCAAACGCTTTGGCAACTCCTGCCTGTGATGAGAGAAGCTAGGAGAGAAAGGTGAGACAGCGAGAGCTGCAAACTGCAGAAACTAAAAGAAAAAGAATGGGGGCAATGGGAGTTAGCTGAGGGAGAGATGGCGTGGGGGATGGGGGGTACAAGAAAGAGGGAGGAAACAGAGAGTGCGACAGAGAGAGAAATATCTACAGGAGCAAGACAGCTGTTGTTTAAGACCATAGAAAAAAAAAAGGCACAGACCGCGTGTCTGCACGGCTGCAGCAGAGCCTGTGTTTATACAAAAGAAGCCCGGAAGGCTCCTCCAGCGCCGGCGTGCACGTTATTTGTTTGCGGGTGCACATGTGCTGCGTTTTTGCTTGTGTTTGCATGTTTGCATGTGTGTGCGCAAGCATGTCGGACGTTAACATAATTGTGGTGTGTGAGTGGGAGCAGCTGGGAGTCTGAGCGAGCCAGACGACCGTACACTGGCTCTTCCTCCCGCGGCCCGAGGCGAGGAAACATGCAGACTCGTGTGTCTGAATCTACGTTCTGTGCATCAAGTGCGAACTAATATTTTTGTTGTGTGAGCGAATGAGAGTTTGATTTCGGGGGAATAATGTTTCTGTGCTCTTGTTTGTGCCGCCGGCGACGTGTCGTCCATGTAAAAGAGCGCCGGACAACTTTTGCTGACGCAAGGTCAAGCACACGGGCCGCGGTTGCTTTGAAACAGATGTTACCCTCCCACCTCTGCGACACCCCGCCCCCTTTGACCTCACACACATCTATTGCCTATGACAGCGCTGCAGGTTGGGGTCTGACGAAATTCAAAGACGGCACAGATTTTCCTCTCGGACCACAGCGCGGGCCTCTGGGTGTCTAACCACTTTTTTTTTATTCCAGCATGTCCTGAAAGATGAAAATAAGATTGAGAGACTTGTACATTTGAATGGAAGAACAAATGTAAAAGATTATTTTCAACAATTATTTTACTTGTTATGAATTATGATTTTTTTACACACATTGTAGGAGCCATATTGAGCTGCATTTTATGTTTTTTTCCTTTGAATAGTAGTGAGTGTGTGTGTGTGTGTATGTGGAGTGAGTGAGTAATATGGCCACAGGTCTGTAATGTCTGTATACCCCACCTAGAGGACGGTTGGGAGGCTGGAGTTGGAGCCCAAGGAAAGCCTTTTAAAGACACAGCAGTGTGTGGCCTGAGAGGGAAACAGTCTTTTGACCGTGTGGTGGAGTCACATGAGGAGCCATATCCCGCCATATAAGAAACTGCTTTAGTTTAATTGTTTGTTATTTTTACCTCATGTTTTTGGTTTGTAAATTATTCATATCAAGAGCAATAAATGGTCTTTGCACCGAACCGGATCACCTTCTACTCCTCATCTTTACAAACAGTACGCGTCAAGATATCCAGCTCAGCCACCAGTAGTAGCTGATCAGGGAGTAAAGGAAAAGGCTACTACACACATTATGAGATGTATAAACCTTGTATAACTTGAATGGAGAAAATATAGTATGTGACTAAACACATACTGATAAACACCAGAAAAGAAAACGTGTGGGCTCTTTGTTTATCTTTTCAATTGGCTCCATCTTTTTTGTTTTTTGTTGCTTATTTAGAACATTATTTACAAGATATTTTCAACTCTGCTGTATTCCATCTCTCCAGGGAAAGAGATTTCTTCTGACGTGGCTTTAGAAACAGCTAAAACAACAGGCAATGTTGGCACAGCTGCAAGACAAACTAAATATGCAGGAGGGGTGATGTGTAACCTGTGTAATGTTTTGGAAATTACGTGAGCTTGCATCCGTCACTTCCTTCCGAAGTGTCATCAAAATGAATCACAGCCACGCAGTAATCAGAACTTTATACATGTATCACTACTCAAAACGAATACCGACACATCACGGTTTCATAACTGCAACTCATTGGTTTAATGACACATTTTGCAAGAGCAGCTGATTATTGCATTCAGCCTTATTTACTCCCCTCCCGTTAGCACCATACCTCCCATTTTAATAAGATACAAATTCAGCTCACTCCCCGCCTGGCCACTGCCCACTTTGACAAAATGCGCTTTACATTTCAACCTCTGCAGCGAACAAGAGGCGTGTCTGAAGAAGTTGAAATTCTAGGTCATCCTCTCAATTTACAAAATTATAATCTCACCACTCATACAAAATCAATACATCAAGATCAATGAGATGAAATGACGGCGGGCAGATGAGATATGGGCTTTGGAAGGACAGAAGTGAAATGAGGTTCTGCTTCGACCCCACAGCAGGAATAACAGTTGATGAATAAAGTCCCCGGCAAATGCTCACCACCCCGCCATCTCTAATCCAATCACCTGTTACGGCATCTGCCATTCGATGACTATGATCGTGAGCGAGGCTTCTCTAGACACAAAAAAAGGGAGCCGAAATGATAAAAGCTACTCGTCACATCCCCGTGTTAACGGTGCCAGCTGTCTTCTGGAGACGGTTACACTTAACGCATGCCGATACTGATGTTTGTTTACTGTATAACGAAATGTTAGTCTGTGAAATGTTAGAAAAAAGGGGGCTTTGAGTGAATTTGAAGGTCGTCTGTTCCTCGGCGCCAGACGTGGCGGGGAGCGAATAACCTCCTCCGGGGGGTCTCGTCTGTCTGCCACGTTTACTGTCAATGGAGGGGACGACGGAAAAACATGTGATGTTATTGGATCAGCGATGACCGAGATCCCCGAAACCTTTCCAGTACCTTGTTGAGTGCACGCTTCAAAGGGCTGAGATAGGTTGTAAGAGCTTAAACGGGCCCATCCGAGTGGAAACAGCTTCTCGGTCCAACAGTTTGCTCATACTTAGTGGAACTGCCAAAAGAGAAGTGGTGTGCAGCCGTGAATATAGATTCCTCATTCTTTGTAATTTGGTACTAATTATACGGTAAACGGTGACAGTTTTCAATTGTTATGCTGAGAATTAATTCCAATTAATATTTGGGGTTGCCTTGAGTCTGATTCTGTTCACAGCAGGGAATTTTGGGTGCTCAGCGACATGTGGAATTATCCCGTGTGGTCGAGAGTTACAGGCATCATACAATTAGACAAATTTAAGGGGTTTATGTGGTAAATTAAAGGTTATATATTTGTATTTTATGTGTCAATAGCTTCGGAACTATTTTCAGGTGTTCTAAGTTCAATTTCAAAAGCAATGACAATGAAAATCTGTATAAAATGTGTTAAATACGTATGTTCTTATTTGTTTTTGTTTTTACCAGTTTATTTAGCCTTGTTAAGATTTCAGCACTTTTTTACTTTAATATTATCTGCCCTTCGTTTCTCTCGCTTCATCCCATGACCCTTACTTTTAAACTCAAACACTAATCAGGTGTGCTGTCACAGAACCACGTCTCCATTTTCCTTAAACTCTGAATTACATTCCTTTATAGCAAATATTCAATAAAATGAATGCCCCAATTCATTCAATTTGAACCCTAGACGCTATCCTTACTGTTAAAAGACAGATAAAGGCCTGCATTAGAAGAATATGTCTTAGCTGTGTCGTGCTATCAATTAATTAACAAATCGCTATTATCAAAGATTGTATGTTACATTACATTACATGTCATTTAGCTGACGCTTTTCTCCAAAGCGACTTACAATAAGTGCATACAACTATAGGGTACAAACTGTTTAAATGACAAAACATTGTGCATTCCTTCGTTAACAAGCGTTATCTGTGTAATCTCAGCCAATCTTCTGACGTCGAGGCACACGACAAAAATTGTATTTACTCGGCAAAGTACTGAAAGCCACGTGACCCAACTTCAGAGGCGAGCTGCCGACTCCTTCTGTCATTCACCGCCAGTTCCGCCATCTCCCATCTGCGGTCAGAAGTCAACGGAACGGCAACCTTGACATTAATCCGGCGGACTGAACTTAAGGTAAGAATACAGCTAACGGAAGCAAATTAAAGTGATTAGTTGGATACTGC